ATCCTTTGGAGAGATTGGCCGAGATTTATGTTCGTGTGATTGTGAAGTTGCACGGAGTTTCTAAGAGCATTGTACCGGATAGAGATCCTAGATTTACTTCAAGATTTTGGGAAAGCTTGCAAAGTGCCTTGGGTTCTAAGTTGAGATTGAGTTCGGCTTATCATCCGCAAACAGATGGTCAAACCGAGAGGACGATTCAATCATTGGAAGATTTGTTGCGTGCATGTGTGTTAGAACAAGGTGGTGCTTGGGATGATTATTTCCCGTTGATTGAGTTCACTTATAATAACAATTTTCATTCGAGTATTGGTATGGCACCATTTGAGGCTTTGTATGGTCGGAAATGTCGGACACCTTTATGTTGGCATGAAACTGGTGAGAAGTCGGTAGTTGGACCGGAGATGGTACAACAAACGACGGAGAAGGTGAAGTTTATTCGGGAAAAGATGAGAGCTTCTCAGAGTAGGCTGAAAAGCTATCATGACAAGAGAAGGAAGGACCTTGAGTTTCAAGAAGACGACCATGTCTTTTTGAGAGTTACACCGGTTACGGGTGTGGGTCGTGCTTTGAAGTCGAAGAAGTTGACTTCTCGTTTTATTGGTCCGTATCAGATTATTGCACGAGTTGGTGTTGTGGCTTATCGTGTGGCATTGCCTCCGAACCTTTCAAATTTGCATGATGTGTTCCATGTTTCGCAACTTCGGAAGTATGTTCCGGATCCGTCACATGTCATTCCTATGGATGAGGTTGAAGTAAAAGATAACCTTACGGTTGAGGTTTTGCCGATTAGTATTTTGGACCGTGAAGTTAAGAAGCTAAGAGGCAAAGATATTGCTCTTGTGAAGGTAGCATGGGGAGGTGTTGCGGAAGACAATATGACTTGGGAATTGGAGAGCAAGATGCAAGAGTCGCATCCGGAGTTGTTTGGATCAGGTAATATTTTCGAGGACGAAAATTTCTAAAGTGGGGGAGAGTTGTAACGCCCCGAATTCTGAATTTCCATTTTTGTTGAGTCCTTTTTGATTTATTTGGATAAATATTATTTATTATGGAATTTATGTGTTTATATGTTATATTTGCATATTGTGATGTTTTACCGATTCGGAGAGTTTTCGGGAAAATAGAGTAGAGGGTATTTTAGACATTTAGCATTAAATATTAAGTGAATTATTTGTGAGAATTATTTGGTAAGTGTTTGGAAGGAAATGAAGAGGAAAGAAAATAGAAATATGAGATAAGAGAGAAAAAGAGAAAAATAGAAACATTAGTGGAAAAACAAGAGAAGGGAAAGAGAAGAGAAAGTGGAGGAAAACCTAGAACCATCAAGAATCAACATCTAAGCTTTCAATCGATCGGGTAAGGGTGTGAAACTTTATCATTCTATCAATGTGTATGATTATGTATGTGATTGTTGGTTTAAATTGGGTTGTGGAAGAGTTTTCCTCATTTTTCCATTTAGGGCATTTTATGATTTAATCGGTAGAAGTGATGTTTAATCGGTTAGAATCGAGAATAAATGGCGTAGTTTAGTCGGGTATTGTTGGGCTAAGCTTACTGGAACTGGTTCGGTGAAATCGGTTGGCTTTTGTGAAGTTTGGGCTTTTGAACAGCCATGGAAGTTCTGGGTTCGTAGATTCGCCAGGCGAGCAGTAGCGAAGCTTCGCCAGGCGAAGCCCAGCGAGTGGTAGCAAACCCAAACAGAACCAAAACACTTAGTCTTTGCTGGCAAGTTAGCCAGGCGAAGGGAGGTGGCGAAGGTTCGCCAGGCGAGTGTCCTAGCGAGTGCTAGAAAATAATTCCAGTAACTCCCAATGGTCTTCGCCAGCGAGTTCGCCAGACGAAGGTGGCAGCGAGAATTCGCCAGATGCTTCGCTAGGCGAACGTTGACGAATGTGACAATATTTTCCAGATTCTGTGTTTTCCTTTCCAACGCGGATTGTTTGGTTCTATTATGTTTAATCCTTATTTGAATGGATAGTTTGTGTGTTGTTGTGATATGATATGTTGTGGGTAGCCGTATGGCGTGAATCCTAGGTTGTGAGTCGTGGAGTGTGAAACATGTCCGTTTGGCAATTTTATGCATTTGTCTGAATTGAACAGAAATGCATGATGGATTAGTATGAATGTACATAGATTGTATGTACCTGTATGAGATGAATATGCATAGTGATATATTTGCGAATATGTATGCATGTAGAGAAATGTTGTAAGTCATTTTGCATAAAAGGCATCATGATGTACATTCTAGCGATGTTAATTCTTTGGAGAATCTGTTGTAATATGTGATTCCTTGGAGAATCTGTTAGGTAATTTGATTCCTCGGAAAATCTGCTGAATATTCGATTCCTCGGAGAATCTGATGAATATTTGATTCCTCGGAGAATCTGCTGAATATTCAATTCCTCGGAGAATCTGATGAATATTTGATTCCTCGGAGAATCTGATGAATATTCGACTCCTCGGAGAATCTGATGAATATTTGATTCCTTGGAGAATCTGCTGAATACTTGATTCCTTGGAGAATCTGCTGAATTGAGTCGGTACCGCATTTGCATCTGCATAGAATCGTGAGTCGGTCTCTATGAGTTGCATTGGTTATCTTTATATGATGCATTGAGTGAATTTAACATAATGGTAGATGTTTATGTGGAAAATGATGAGTATGTATAGAAGCATGATTTGATGAATATGCTTGATTATGTGAATATGCATTGTGTTGTATATGATGAATTGTTATGAGAAGTGGTGAGAATGTGGATTATGTATAACTTGTGTACATATATATATAGTTATATGCATTGATTATTATGATATTGTTTCTCACCCTTCTGCTGTTTATAATGCTCAATGAGGCATTGCAGAGTAGGTTTGCTGGAGGTCCTTTTTTGATGCGTGTCGTCATTGTTTTGGTCAGATGGCTCTGATATGTAACATCTGGGTAGTTAGGAAGCCTTTGACTCTTTTTGGAGATACATTCGTTTTGATTCTTTTGTGATACATCTGTGTATGTATCTGAATAGTGAATGTTTATGTACACTTGACTGATGTAGTGGTTTAAACAGAATGATGTATATCTATATGTTTATATGACAAAAGTGATTCGATGTTTAGATGTTTCCGCTTTTATTCTAAATATTGAAATGTGGGTGCAAGGATTAAGATTCCTTTGTTGTGAGTTGCCCATTGTTGCATATCTTTATGAGTAGGTGTTGTATGTGTTTAATTTCATGGATAATGTGATGCACCTCTTTTATACCATGTTCTAAATATACTCTGATGAAATTTTGAATTCGTGCCTAAATGATTTATTTGATTATTTGGGGGTATAGAAAGGGGGTGTTACAACAGCAAAACCAGCACTTGTTTTGACCATAACTTTTAAACCGTAACTATGTTTTACGCGCGGTCGGAAATGTTAGAGAGCTTATTCAATGCTCTATAAGACAATGACAAAATATAATTGCTTATATACCTACAAAATGAGAGGAAAACAATTAAACTCAATCATATTTACATGATACACAATATATACACTAATAATGTAAACTATACAACATATACACAAAAGTTGAGATTTATTGGTTGAATTAAGCCAATAAGTGCCAATTATTTACACTCAAAATCAGTACATTTTAGCACTTATCAGCTGGCTGGGTATATGGATTCGAATCTAGCCTAAAGCTTAGATGATCGAAACTATACTTCAAGATATATGGTGACTGTTTCCAGGGGAGCCATGGCTTGGCAATTGAAGTTGTAAATGTTTGTTGCACTCTCTACTGCCGAATCCGAGTTTATAGCCGTCGTGGAAGCGTCAAAATAGTTGTTATGGTTGAGGAAATCCGCAATGGAACTTGATGTGAAAAAGGAAAAGTATGTCTTGTTTTTTGATAATGAAAGTGTCGTTCACTTATCGAAGAATTCCTCCTTCCACTCGAGGTCGAAGCATATTGATGTTCGTTATCATTACATTTGTGATGCATTAAATTCAAAGTTGATGAAGCTTGAGTAGATTAACACCGATGAAAATGGTTTGAATATGCTGACGAAAGTTTTGCCTAAGGAAAATTTTGAGTTTTGTTGCACGCTAGCCGGATTGGTGTTGCTCTCCAAATAGTCATTCGGGGAAGTTTGTTGGGATATCCCTCCTATTTGGACTGACCCAAATGAATGTGGGTTATTAGCCCATGTGTGTGTAAGCCTTTTTTACGATCCAACAAATAGAATTAGGTCATTCATTCAGTGTGTGAGAGAAAAAAGAAGAAAAGGTAAAGAGAAAACATTGTTCTCGCGACCCTAATTCACCAGAGACCAGTACCGCGAGATCAAATTTTTCTTACAATTCAACCGTTGGATCGTCATGACTTTTGGTGACAGTGTTCAACACTCATAGATGTACATTTTAAACGATAAAGATCAGATTGAGATTTCTAGACCTGTCTACCGAGTGATTGTTTGAGATGCAAATTTTGTGGTTGATTGTATCTCTTGTTTTTTGTTCTATTTTGCGATTGATTGTAAGACTTAATTATGTTTATGTAGGTCAGTAACTAGTGTTAGTGAGACCCTTGATTGTACACATTGATTATATTAGAGATTTAAGTGGCTTACGAATTACCGATTTTTTATTCCTATTAACAAAAGTTTTTCTACACTAAAATTGTGTCGTGTTAATTTGATATGTTTTTATTTATTGTCTCTCTAAGTTGCATTTAATTTTAAAAGAGATTGTGTTGTTAGATTATTCCATTACGAATTGTATTTTATCTAAAGATATGGTAAGATAGCCAAGTTATTTGACATATATTGGGCAAACATCAGTATTTTGCTTATAATTTTTACCAATACATGATCCTTCTTAGTTTATTTAAGATGACACTTGTGAAGAAAAAAAACTAACAAAGAAAATAAAGAATGACATGTTAACTAGGCGAAAAACATTAAAAAAAAAAAAAGCAATGAAATTCATTTTCAACGTGAATATTCATTCAGCTATACGTCTATAGTTTCACAAATCCTAGTTCAGCATCCAAATCTATCTCTTCCTCCAACTTTTGTGCTTCCAACAAGTCTCTTGCAATAACCATCTTTGCTTTAAGCCGTTGCATTTCCAACTCTAGAGCTACCACGTTATCCTTTAGCTTCTCTGCTTCTTTCAATTTATTCAAATAACTTTTCATACTTAAAGCTGATTGAACATGAGGCTCAAGCCAAGTCAAATCGAAACCAAAGTGCTCAAGTTCCTCCCAGTAAATTTGCAGATGCTTGCAAGCAATGTCATTCATATCTCTCACCTTTTTAGTCTGTAGGAAATAAATTACTCTTCCCAAAGCACTGAATGCCCATTCCCTAAACTTACGACTTCTTTTCTGCTGACAAACAATAAGTGAAGGATGCATATAACATGCTAGATCTAATAATGGAGCAAATTTTTTTTCCATTTGTCCTAAACATTCGAAATCCATAAGCTCGCCTTCCTCTAGCTTCGGTCTTAAGGAAGCTGTTGATATGTTAGTTGATTGATTTACTGGTTTCTCATGTGCTGACTTACAAACATAAACTTCTGCACCAAAAATACAAGAATCCTTCACAATAAAACCATTTTCAGAATCATGAAGCTCATCCAAAGTAATGAAAGATTTGAAACCCCAGGAATCCTGTCTCGCATTGAACTCATATCTAGATTCTGGTAAAATTATGTACCAAGGGTAAGTTTAGTTATGTGAAGATAAAAACGAAAGCAACATCTCTATGAAAAGAAGCAAAATTAATATACAATCACCTATTGTGACTGTTTTGTTGGCATTGAGCTGATTGAATAGAAGCAACTTAAATTTGACATCTCTACTCCATCCCTCAGACATATTAGTTGTTTTCACAGTCCCCAAATAAATTGATGAAAAGTCCTCTTCTCCTTCCTCCCCCTTTGGATACAGATAAATCAGCCTAAAAAGAAATCAAATGAACTCAAAACATAAAAAACCAGTCCGATAAATTCTAACATTTGGGAATTAATTCATTCGTTAAAATAAATCATACCATGGAAAGCCGCCTAAGATAAAAGGTTCCGAGGAAACCTCACATTTGTTCAAGCTAGAGAAGTTTTGAACCTTCCATGTAAATTTCTCAAACTTCTCAACACTAGACTGTTCATGCCCCATATCTTCAAACTCTCTGCTAGTAGTACATAAAGATCAATACTAGTAGTACTTATATATTGATAGTTTTTTATGTTTAGTAGTATAAGAAGTAGAAGCGGTACAACTAATACAAATAAATTACCAATAAGAGAGAATATGAAAGGGATACATACATTGTATTTTTATTGGCCATTTGTATTTAATTAATGAATTTCTTAATTTTAGTTTTTCGTGACCATAAGGAAGTTCATGAATCCCTTTAATTTAGTTCATAGAATCCCTTTTCGTGATCATAATTAACTGATTACTATAGTAAAAGTTTATTGAAAATTGTGTATTAAATTTAATACAAGTTTAATATTAATGATTTTATTACTTTTTCCAATACTTATTTTTTACTTGTGGATTTTTTAACATGTGCCAAAAAGAAAGAAGTTAGTATTACCCTTTTATAATAATTTGAGAAAATGCATCAAAGATGCCGTTTGAAATACAGCAGCGACACCAATCGCTTCCATTTTGTCTGCTGCTAACATTGGGTGGTATTGTTTGGTTAGCTCAGACGAATTGATTTATTGTTTTATTTGCTGATTGAGTGTCGCAGGCGGTTTTGCTTTGAAAATTGTATCAATTCTAATTATTGTATTGGCATAACTTATGCCATAATTTTAATATTTAATTGAATTTGCTTTTCAAAAATAAAATTGAGAAAATATATTAACCACTTAAATGTAATGATAGTATATTAGTGCTAGATACCGAAAGTACATTCAGTTGGAATTCAAAACTACGGTTCGTAAAAGCTTGAAAATTGGAGGTATAATTTCTTGGTCATGTAATTAGTAAAAAAGGTATTGCAGTAGACTCAAGTAAAGTCGAAGCAATAACAAAGTGGGAGAGTCCAAAGAATGTTGGCGAGATTCGAAGTTTTCTTGGACTAACTGGATATTATCGGAGGTTCATTGAAGGATTTTCAAAGATCGCTTTGCCCATGACTCAATTGACGAGGAAATGTAAAAACTTTGAATGGACTAAAGAGTGCAAAGAAAGTTTTCAGAAGTTAAAGGAAAGATTGACTTCATCACCAATACTCATCTTACCAGACCCATCAAAAAAAATTTATGTGTATTGTGATGCGTCATATCAAGGTCTTGGTTGTGTGTTGATGCAAGAAAGGAAGGTGATAACTTATGCATCAAGACAATTGAAGGTGCATGAGAGGAACTACCCAAATCACGACCTAGAGTTAGCAGCAATTGTGTTTGCCTTAAAGATTTGGAGGCATTATCTTTATGGATCAAAGTTCACTGTGTTAAGTGATCACAAAAGTCTGAAGCATTTATTTGATCAGAAAGATCTAAACATGAGGCAAAGGCGATGGATGGAGTTCTTGAAGGACTATGATTTTGAGTTGCAATATCATCCCGGAAAGGCCAATGTTGTAGCAGACGCTTTGAGTCGAAAGAAACTTCATGTATCTGCAATGATGTTGAAGGAAGAAGAGTTGATTAACAAATTCGTGGATTTAAACTTAGGAGTACATCACAATGAAGGAAGTATATTCATAGGCGCTATTGTCGTGTCTAATGAATTTCTGAAATGGATCAAAGAGGAACAACAACTTGATGACCGTCTAATGAGTGTAAAGGAAAATTTAAGAAATGGTCAAAATGGAGAGTCTAACATAAGGAGTGATGGAATCCTAAGGTTTAAAGAAAGGTTGTGTGTACCTCAAAACCAGGATATTCGAAAGTTAATTTTGGAAGAGGGCCACAAAAGTAAGATGAGTTTTCACCCAGGAGCCACAAAGATGTATCAAGACTTGAAGAAAATGTTTTGGTGGTTTGGAATGAAGAAACATATAGCAGAATATGTTCAAAGTTGCTTGGCATGTCAGAAGGCAAGATTGAACATCAGAAGCCAGCCAGATTGCTACAACCTTTAGACATTCCATAGTGGAAGTGGGATGGAATATCCATGGATTTAGTAACCGCTTTGCCTAAGACTCAGAAACAACATGATGCAATTTGGGTGATCATTGATAGGTTGACAAAGAGTGCACATCTCATTCCCATCAACCAGACGATTAAATTAGAGAGACTAGCTCAGGTATATGTAAAGGAGATTGTTAGATTGCATGGAATACCTTCAAGTATAGTCAGTGATAGAGATCCCATATTCACATTAAATTTTTGGCATCAGTTGCATTTAGAGTTAGGAACAAAACTGAGGTTAAGTTCAGCTTATCATCCCCAAACGGATGGCCAGTCTGAGAGGACGATTCAGTCGTTAGAGGATTTGTTGAGAGCTTGTGGTCTTGAACACAAAGGAAGTTGGGATGAGTTCTTACCATTGATTGAGTTTACTTACAACAATAGTTTTCACTCAAGTATCGGCATGGCTTCATATGAAGCATTGTATGGAAGAAAATGTCGTACACCTTTATGTTGGTATGAAGTTGGAGAAAATAAAATATTGGGTTCAGAACTCGTGCAACAAACGACAGATCAGGTTAAACTTATTAGAGAAAAAATGAAGGTTGCACGGGACCGTCAAAAGAGTTATAGTGATAAGAGGATAAGACCTTTGGAATTCGAGGCAGGAGATCGCGTGTTCATTAGGGTAACTCCTAGGGCGGGAATTGCACGAGAAATCAAAACTAGGAAGTTAACACCAAGGTTTATCGGGCCTTTTCAAATTCTACAGCAGATTGGACCTGTAGCGTATCACATTGTTTTACCACCAAATTTGTTTAATCTTCATGATGTATTCCATGTATCACAACTGAGGAAGTATTATCCGGACCCTTCACATGTCATTGAGCCTAAAACTGTGGAACTTAGAGATAATTTGGAATATGAGGCTATACCTGTCAAGATCTTAGATCATCGAATTAAGGAACTTCGTGGAAAGCAGATACCATTGGTTAGAGTCGTGTGGGATGATGTAACTGGTGATTCTACTTAGGAAAGAGAAGAAAACATGCGTCAGAAGTATCCACATATGTTTTAGGTACGCTGAATTTCGAGGACGAAATTTCTTTTAAGGAGGGTGTTAATGTAACATCCTAATTTTCCATACACTAAATAATATATCTAATTAGATTTGATATTTTAACAATGCTAGTTATTAAAAACTAAATGTTGAAACTAACACTTATAATAATTAATTTATCAATTAATTACCTTTTATATTTATTACCTTTATTCTTCAATTTGAATATCATCGTTTCATTTTACAAACTAAACTTTGATTAATACTTAAAACACTTAACTTTAAGTTAATTAATTGTTCATATTATTATTATTATCATTGTTGTTGTTGTTGTTTTGTTATTATTATTAATTGATTTTATTTTATTTGAATATTATCATTTTATTCTACAAACTAATTAGTAAATAAAATAATCTTAAGTTAATAAATATATCAAATAACTATCATTGTTATCATTTTTATTATTATTAATATTATTATTTTATTTTATTTTTATAAAAGAAATATATATCTCATTTTCTATTAATATCCTACATGATATTATGTCATGAAATCAAGCTCCCATACCTTTGTTATAAATTATTTTCATAAAGTCATACTAGAACACCTAAAGAACTATTGATGTAAGATTAGTAAATATTTGATAGAGACATATTTACTAGCAAGAGTTGAAAAGTTGGAAGGTATGGGCAAAAGAAGATAAATTAGGTTATTTTAATATTTTACAACTAGTATAAATAGGGGTCTTTTCCACCCCATTTTCATTCATTCATTCACAAATCATCTTTCTTACTTCTTTACTTCTTTACTTCTCTAATTTCTTCATATAACAATATTAGTTTTAGTTATCGAAGTTCCCACGATATCGGTTCATAACTTTTAGAGTATTTTGTGGTAAAAGTTCTTCTAAAGTTTCAAAGGAGTTTTATACGTTAAAGTTCTGCCCAAATCATTTTCATAAGTAATCGATTCTTGGAAAAGATCGGAGACAACACTCGTGGACTTTCAACAACACTCAACAAAAGGTGGGGGCAAGATTTCGTATATGTTGGGATGGTTAGCGTAAAATAACTTAATATATATGTGTGTAGTGGTGACCTAAGCCCTACTAGTGATAAATAAGTAAGGAGGGCCTATTCTCAAATAATGATTTTCACGAATCCCTAGGCGAGGTTACGCCGGCCTTAATTATTTATCATAGGAATAATATGTGACAATTTAAGATTGTATTGTGCTTGCATTATTTGATTAATTTTCTAATTGTTTATTTTATCTATACTTGAATGATTGTGATTGATAGACTAAGGAAATAATCGATTAATGAGAGAACAACATTGCTAAGTATTAAGTAATTGATCCCCAATAACTAAAGGAAAGTTGGATACATTGAGTAGATGTATTTGGTTGGGTTCTGGCTAAGGAAAGACTTGGTCGACTATGTCATTTACAGTCCACCTCTCTTACCTAGGAAGTTAATCATACAATTATTCATTGTACAAACTGAACTGATAATGTAAGGATAAGGATCATGCCAAAAAGAAATGTGGCAAGACATTTGATGGATTTGGTACTCAACCTAAGTATCTAGATAATAAGTATAACTTGAAAAGTTAATACGATAATTCCCCATTATTAACTTAATACTTATGGTTGAGAGTTTCCATAAGATGATTGAGTGATCATATAGACTTGCATTGAGGAATGTGTAAGTCCACTGTCGTGCGGTATGGGTCGCACGAGGTTGATCAGTCGCCTACAATCCCGACGGGGATTATTATCTATGCATGCTAGGCAAGACAAGGTTCTTGGCCTGAATTCTCAAGGACGATCGACTTATAACACCTAGACTCCACGTGAAGTTAGGTGGCGTAGCTCTTGGTAATTGGAAGTACGTTGGTGGCATGTGGTCTTGTGATATCTGATCTTGGTAAATTGGATAGATATCATTGACAGTGTTTAGTGGCCCGAGTCAGCATATAGTTCAGGGATGCATTAGAATAAATAAAGTATATGTAATTATGGGTGTA